CGTTTTCCAATTTTCCACATCCTTCTTGTAGTGTGGGGCCCAAAACTGGACACAGTACTCCAGATGAGGCCTCAACACAATGTCGAATAGAGGAGAACGATCACGTCCCTCGATCTGCTGGCAATGCCCCTACTTATACAGCCCAAAATGCCATTGGCCTTCTTGGCAACAAGGGCACACTGTTGATGCATATCCAGCTTCTCGTCCACTGTAACCCCTAGGTCCTTCTCTGCAGAACTGCTGCCGAGCCATTCGGTCCCTAATCTGTAGCGGTGCACTGGATTCTTCCATCCTAAGTGCAGGACTCTGCATTTATCCTTGTTGAACCTCATCAGATTTCTTTTGGCCCAATCCTCCAATTTGTCTAGGTCCCTCTGTATCCTATCCCTGCCCTCCAGCGTATCTACCACTCCTCCTAGTTTAGTATCATCCGCAAATTTGCTGAGAGTGCAATCCACACCATCCTCCAGATCATTTATGAAGATATTGAACAAAACCGGCCCCAGGACCAAACCCTGGGGCACTCCACTTGACACCGGCTGCCAACTAGACATGGAGCCATTGATCACTACCCGTTGAGCCCGACAATCTAGCCAACTTTCTACCCACCTTATAGTGCATTCATCCAGCCCATACTTCTTTAACTTGCTGACAAGAATACTGTGGGAGACAGTGTCAAAAGCTTTGCTAAAGTCAAGGAACAATACATCCACTGCTTTCCCTTCATCCACAGAACCTGTAATCTCATCATAGAAGGCGATTAGATTAGTCAGGCATGACCTTCCCTTGGTGAATCCATGCTGACTGTTCCTGATCACTTTCCTCTCATGTAAGTGCTTCAGGATTGATTCTTTGAGGACCTGCTCTATGATTTTTCCAGGGACTGAGGTGAGGCTGACTGGCCTGTATTTCCCAGGATCCTCCTTCTTCCCTTTTTTAAAAATGGGCACTACATTAGCCTTTTTCCAGTCATCTGGGACTTCCCCCGTTCGCCACAAGTTTTCAGAGATAATGGCCAATGGCTCTGCAATCACAGCCGCCAATTCCTTTAGCACTCTCGGATGCAACTCGTCCAGCCCCATGGACTTGTGCATGTCCAGCTTTTCTAAATAGTCCCTAACCACCTCTTTCTCCACAGAGGGCTGGCCATCTATTCCCCATGTTGTGATGCCCAGCGCAGCAGTCTGGGAGCTGACCTTGTTAGTGAAGACAGAGGCAAAAAAAGCATTGAGTACATTAGCTTTTTCCACATCCTCTGTCACTAGGTTGCCTCCCTCATTCAGTAAGGGGCCCACACTTTCCTTGGCTTTCTTCTTGTTGCCAAGATACCTGAAGAAACCCTTCTTGTTACTCTTGACATCTCTTGCTAGCTGCAGCTCCAGGTGCGATTTGGCCCTCCTGATTTCATTCCTACATGCCCGAGCAATATTTTTATACTCTTCCCTTGTTATATGTCCAACCTTCCACTTCTTGTAAGCTTCTTTTTTATGTTTAAGATCCGCTAGGATTTCACCGTTAAGCCAAGCTGGTCGCCTGCCATATTTACTATTCTTTCAACACATCGGGATGGTTTGTCCCTGTAACCTCAACAGGGATTCCTTGAAATACAGCCAGCTCTCCTGGACTCCTTTCCCCTTCATGTTAGTCCCCCAGGGGATCCTACCCATCCGTTCCCTGAGGGAGTCGAAGTCTGCTTTCCTGAAGTCCAGGGTCCGTATCCTGCTGCTTACCTTTCTTCCCTGTGTCAGGATCCTGAACTCAACCAACTCATGGTCACTGCCTCCCAGATTCCCATCCACTTTTGCTTCCCCCACTAATTCTTCCCAGTTTGTGAGCAGCAGGTCAAGAAAAGCTCCCCCCCTAGTTGGCTCCTCTAGCACTTGCGCCAGGAAATTGTCCCCTATGTTTTCCAAAAACTTCCTAGATTGTCTATGCACCGTTGTATTGCTCTCCCAGCAGATATCAGGAAAATTAAAGTCACCCATGAGAACCAGGGCGTGCGATCTAGTAGCTTCTGCGAGTTGCCGGAAGAAAGCCTCATCCACCCCATCCCCCTGGTCCGGTGGTCTATAGCAGACTCCCACCACTACAGAACTGGTGTCCTGTCTCACTCCTCAGCACAGACTACAAAGTCGTAGCAAAGGCCATATCGCTGCAGCTGAGGTCCATGCTAGTGTACATGGTCCATCCTGACCAGACCTACACCGTCCCGGGTCATTCCATCTTTGATCATTTGTATTTGGTCCAGGATCTCCTGGAGCTCAGGTATAGGGATGGTCTGTTGTTCACCCTCCTGTCCCTGGACCAGGAGAAGACGTTCAACATGAAGGACCCTGGGTATCTCCTGGGCACTCTGCGGGCGTTCAGCTTCGGGCCCCAGTTTGTGGGTTCTCTCCAGGTGTTGTTTGCTTCTGCAGAGTGTTTGGTCAGGCTCAGCTGGACCATGACCGAGCCGGTCAGCTTCGGGTGTGAGGTGCGTCAGGGGTGTCCGCTGTCAGGCCAGCTCTATACTCTGGCGATCAAGCCCTTCCTCTGTCTCCTCCGCCGGTGGTTGACGGGGTTGGTGTTTCGGGAGCTGGAGCAGCAGCTGGTCCTGTCGGCGTACGCCAACGACGTGCTCCTCGTGGTCCAGGACTCCTTTACGGTGCAGGTAGCTCAGCGTGGTGCACACCTTCCTCTGCCATCTGCAAGGGCTCCGATATGACTGGCAACTCTTTTTTCTCCATCCAAGAGGTCTTCCACCAGGACCTCCTCCAGACTTGGAGGCTTGTTTCAGCAAGCAGGTCATGGTAGCCACCGAGTGGGTAGATCTCCTTGCAGAGCCCCTGCTACACAATCCCCATCTTTGTGTGCAGGTGGCGGAGTCCCCCTTGGTGTGCTGGAGGTTGGTCCTGGTGAGAGTCACCAAGATCGGAGACACCCTGGACTATGACCTGGGGGGTTGGGTGGATCCCCAGGCACTTGGTCGGCACATGGGGCTCTCCACTCTTACAACCCCCCGGCGCCTACTCCAGGAGATGGAGGCAGCCCTTCCCCCCATGGCTTGGTTTTTCCTTGAGTGGGTTCTGCGAAAGGGTGCACCCCACCCGCCTCTCACTCCCGGCCTTCCAGATCTTTCCATCAGCCCCCTGCCCCGTGAGCCTTCCCGGCCTCCCCCTCCTCGTACCTTGAGCTGGCTGCATGCTATGCAGCCGGTTCGTTTCCGAACCGCGTCAAGAGACCATCTATGTGTGCCCATGCTGCACATGCCTCATTACCCCACCCTCGGGTTCTGCCCAGATACCAAGGGGCAGGACCTTTTACCAGCAGTGGAGGGTGGGGAACCCCAGTGGGCCAGTTTAAATTCCAGTTTAGTCCCGCGGCTTGCCGGGAATATCAGCTGGTGGCTCCTTCCTGGAGCCGTGAGCACGGGCATGTACTTGGTGCGGTTCACCTCTGTCCCTAAAACCTATCCCTTCCGTGGCATGAGGGAGACCCTTGCACATGCCCTCCCTCAGTGCGCCAGCCCCCAGTCCCTCATCCAGCTCCTCCAGAGCCTTTTATTCAGGGTCTGCCTGCGCTTTTCCCTGCGCCTGTTTATCTACGCACACCTGAGCCTAGGCCCCACGAAGTCGCAGGACCACCTCGTCAACCTCCTCCTAGCCATGGCCAAGGTGGCCATTCGCAACACCAGGGAGAGGAGGTTGGCTGGGGGGGGCTTTGCGACTGTGGGGCCTGTTTTCGTTCGTTTATCCATTCACGTATCCGGGCAGAGTTCCTCTGGGCAGCGTCTGGCGGCCCTCTCGACGCCTGCGCAGAGCAGCAGGCGCTGTCCAGGGCTCTCTGCTGGGCATCCCCTTCTGGGTCCCTCATCTTGGCCCTTTGACCCTCACGCCCGTTCCCGTTATTGCCTTGGGGGTGTCCCGCCCACGGATTCCAGTTTACCAGCTACACTTTCCGATCATTAGTTTAATCACCAGCCCTTTCTGACCCTACTCACCCTGCCTCTGCTTGTAAAGAAAATGCTGACCCCTGCCCAGGGCCACTAACACCACCCCCCCCGCCCGCCGCCGCCGCCGAGCTCCGCCTGGGAACACCCCCCTCCCCCCGAGAACCGCCTGGGAACACCCCCCCGCTCCCCCCGCCTGGGAACACCCCCCTCCCCCCGAGCACCGCCTGGGAACATCCCCCCCGCTCCCCCCGCCGAGCACCGCCTGGGAACCCCCCCCCGCCGCCGAGCACCGCCTGGGAACCCCCCCCCGCCGCCGAGCTCCGCCTGGGAACACCCCCCTCCCCCCGAGCACCGCCTGGGAACATCCTCCCCCCCGCCGAGCTCCGCCTGGGAACACCCCCCTCCCCCCGAGCACCGCCTGGGAACACCCCCCCGCTCCCCCCGCCGAGCACCGCCTGGGAACATCCCCCCCCGCTCCCCCCGCCGAGCTCCGCCTGGGAACACCCCCCCCGCTCCCCCCCCGAGCACCGCCTGGGAACACCCCCCCGCTCCCCCCCCGAGCACCGCCTGGGAACACCCCCCCGCTCCCCCCGCCGAGCTCCGCCTGGGAACCCCCCGCCGCCGAGCTCCGCCTGGGAACACCCCCCGCCGCCGAGCTCCGCCTGGGAACACCCCCCGCTGAGCTCCGCCTGGGAACACCCCCCGCCGAGCTCCGCCTGGGAACACCCCCTCGCTCCCCCCGCCGAGCTCCGCCTGGGAACACACCTCCGCCCCGCCAGGGGGAACAAGAGGCCCGGGCCACCCGTGACGGCGGCCCAGGGCGCAGGGACCCCGCCCACTCCCATTGGCCAAGGGCCTTCCCCTCGCGCAGCGATCCCCCTTCCCATTGGTGAGCAATGGGCACGTGCCCAGAGGCGCCGCGCGGCGACTGGCTGAGGGAAGGGAGGGCGCTGATTGGTGGCGAGGCGCCCAATAGCCGTGAGAAGCGGCGTATGAACGCGGGGCGGGCGGAGGCCCCCAGCTCCCCGGGGCGCCGCTCGCAGCTGGGCGCGTCGCGCGTGTCCGCGGCATGACGGAGCCGCCCCCCCCGCCCGGGGCCGCGCACGCGTGGGGCGGCCCGGGGAGCCCCGCGCGCGGCGCTGCGCGCGGCGCTGCCCACGGGCCCGGCCCCCGGCCGGCGGAGGGGCCCCCGGGGGGGCGGGGCGGGGCGGCGGCGGCTCGGGGCGCCGGAGTCCCGGGCGCGGGGGCCGCGCTGCCGGCCGGGGCGGGGGGGCCGCGGCGCCTGAGCCCGCTGTGGGAGGAGGCGGCGGCGGCGGCGCGGGAGCTCGCCGGGCTCGCGGGAGCGGCGGGCGGCGGGCAGCGGGAGGCGGCTTCCCCCGAGACCCCGCTCTTCCGCAGCTTCTTCGCGGCCGAGTGCCTGGCCATCGCGCGGCAGCTGGAGCGGCCGGGCCCCGAGCTCTCCGGCATCGCGGCCGAGCCCCTGCCCCTGGAGGCGCCCTGGTCCCCGCTGGGGGAGCGTCGGGCGGCCGGCGAGCCCGGGGCGGGCGGCGAGCCCGGGGCGGGCGGCGGCCGGAGCCCGGGGGCCACAGGGGCGGTCCTGCCCGCCGGGCCCGGGGAGCCCTGCCCGGGAAGGGCGCCGGGAGATGCGGAGCGGAGGGGGCTGCCCGGCCTGCAGGCGCGGGCTCTGAGCGCCCTGAACCTGACCGCCGAGCTCCGGGGGCCGGCTCGGGCCGGCGCTCCCCTCGGGCAGACGACCTTCGAGATCTCCGCGGCGCACCCGCTTGGGTCGACCGTGACCTTGGCTGTGGAAAGGGAGCTACTGGCCGAGCAGTCAAGCCTCAAGGACTCGGAGGTCGATGATCTGGAGCGGAGCAGGTCTGCTTATAGAACCCACGAGCTGGACATCGTCTCCAACGAAAGCGCGGTCTCTGTAGGCTCCAGCTCCTTTGCGACCTCCACGCCGCTGATGGGACCCGCCAAGTTTCACTTTGTGACAGGTAGTCCCCTAGGAGATGACTTGGAACAGAGGGACCCAAACCCCTCTAGGCGTTCGATGCCCAGAGAGCTAACCTGCCCAGGTCAGGCTGGCTGTAAACCTGCAGCACCCAAGCTAACCCGGAGCCCCATGCCCAAGTGCGGGAACCTACCTGAAGAGTCCTGTGGCAAGGTCACTCTCAAACCACCTCAGAGGGGTACTGCATTGCCTGTGTCTTCTAGAAGCTGTACCAGTGCTGAAGGCCAAGCTGCTGTCAAATCACTGCCCCTGGCCTTTACCACCCCAAGAACAAGCAGGAGTCTGGCCCTCGCTTCCTTTGAATCTCGGAGAGCTTCTCGAGAGCTGCTGAGAGCAGGCCTGCCTCCAAGGAGCAGAGGCATCTCCTTGGAGGGGAAAGCAACAAGACTGTCTCTAGGTAACTCCCGACCCAGCATGCAGAAAGCAGCTGCCACTGGAAAAACAAGCCAGGGATCCAACGTGGAGACCCAGCCTGCTGCCCAAGTAAGTGGGGGGGGGTGCTCCAGCTTCCTGCTGCCTAGTAATGCCAAGTGCCTCTTCCAACTGCCCCTTACTTCAGTATCCCATAGGAGCAGCGTGAGGGAGGGCCCAGGAGCCATTTCAGATTTTTGGGGGGTCAACTTCAAACATGATTCCAAGGGTTACTTAGGCACCTGGGAACTCTAGGGTGTTTTTTTTGTGCAGGTAATTTAGAAATTAGCTGATAGGAGCACTGTATCTAATTCCTATGTTTGTTTATATACTAGACCCACTCAGCTCCAATACTAACTTGTTCTCACATCTTCTGTCAAGTCACTTAAGGGACACTGGTTAGGTTTAAAATTTTAATGTATGTTCTTTGTTACTAACTCTCAAATACAACCATTGCAGAAAAATCTAGATGACTTTCTATCACTTTTTTGCAGTTCATCAAGTTTGGAATAGATCATTTAACTTTGGAAACATCCTACTGGAGCAAAGCCCCCTGAATTTATACTGCACCTGCCTAGGGCTGTTGGGGTGTTACCTCACTACAAATAATAGACTAGAAACTGACCTTAAACAGGAGGGAAAGTGACACTTTCAAGTCACTTTCACAGTGTTGCTAATCCCAAATGGTCAAAAGTCATGAATCAGGCTCACCAAAAATCACGAGATTGGCTTTAAAATCATGAGATTATGTAAAAATAACAGATTTGGGGTTCTTTTTATTTGCCTTCTGCTTTTTGAGCCTTTAGGGTGCACTTGGAGTCACAATTATCATGAGACTCATGACAAAATCATGAGCCTTGGTAACACAGCTTTTATTTCTGTTTAAAGGCTCGTTACTTTCCAGAAGGCTCTGAAACACAACACCACAGTGACTGAGTTGCAGTTCTCACAGGAGACTATTTAAATCCAAACACTAAGAAAATTCTATATTTTAAAGTTGAGGGGAAAAACTTGAGACTTCTGAGGTCTATCAGGGCCACTGCAGGCAGGAAAGGGAAATAAACAGGCACAGGTGCTCTGGGCAGCTCTTCCTCTTGAAATAAAGTTGGAGGGTCAAATCTTCTAGTCCGTAATCCAGTAAAACTTCTGTTTCCATCAGTGCCTCCATTCATAGATATAAACGTCACAGTGACCATGTGATAATGTGTGCGATCAATAACTATACACTTCACACTTAAATATCTGAGCCATCTTATCCAGATTTCAGAGTAGCAGCCGTGTTAGTCTGTATTCGCAAAGAGAAAAGGAGGACTTGTGGCACCTTAGAGACTAATAAATTTATTTGAGCATAAGCTTTCGTGAGCTACAGCTCACTTCATCGGATGCATCTGATGAAGAGAGCTGTAGCTCACGAAAGCTTATGCTCAAATAAATTTGTTAATCTTATCCAGAGTTACACAGCTTAGATGCTCAGGGACTGGATTTTCTGGCATATTTTGAACAGTGCTGAGCACACAGATGGTGTCCAGTGAATAATACAAATCATGACAATAATGGTCAACTTTATGAACTCTGTGGATGCAGTTTCTGTTCTTTGTTGTGGAATTGGCCTGGATACAGCTGAAACCCTAAGAATTTGACGATACTTTCTCATTCCTTCCTTTTCTCAAACTCAGAACAAAAAATGACAAAACAAAATGGTTTTCAGTTAAAATGTAAAATTGCACAGCAGCCATTGCTCTACAACCCAGCATGGGACAGAACCTGCCCCCCCTTGGGAGTTAAATGAGCTCCTCTCATCTGACTCTTTCTCCAGCCTTCCTAACATCTGTGCTGATTTTCATGCTGTCAACCATGACCTCCACCCCAACCTCCTGGGACCATTTGCTGGAGTCTCAGAGAACTGGCCACCTTGGTTTTGCTCCCATCTATCAGAGTCCTCTTCTCTCCTCTTCCCCCCCCCCCCCCCCCAAAGCATACAGCAGAGAAAGTAGCTGGTCTACTGGATTGGGAGCTAGCTCTGAAAAACTTGGGTTCTACTTACCCCATGGACTTCCTGTCTGACCCCAGGCCAGTGCTTTAAGGACAGAATTTCTAAGACTTTTAGGCACCCAAAGATGCTGCTAGGCATCTAGTGGGGTTTACAAAGAACCAGAACTTCTAAGTGCATTTGAAAATCTTGCTAGGTGCCTAAATACCTTTGAAAATCTGGCCTTTAGTTTGTGTGTGCCTTAGTGCCCCACCTGTACAATGGGGATAACAGCACTGCTCGACCTCACTGAGGGGCTGGGAGGAGAAATAGGTTAGACCTTGTGAGGCGCAGTCTAAAGGGCTTGTCTACACTTACATTTTATAGCGCTCTAACTTGCTGGCTATGGGTGTGAAAAATCACCCCCCTGAGCGCAGCAAGTGTGAGCGCTTTAAAGCGCTAGTGTAGAGCGCTGGGAGCTTGGAGCCAATCACCTCGAGGTGGATCACCAGGAGAGGGTTCCCGTGGCAGAGCTTTGAAGTTTCCAGTGTAGACATTCCCTTAGATACTATGCTGATGAGGCCACATAAGTACCGCAGGAAGAGTGGGCACTCCTCTATACACTGCTAGCTCTGCCCTGGGTCTGACCCCTTCTTTTCACCTGCACCCCCAAACCTCCCCCTTTTCTGAATGTCACCTAGGCTCAGTGCTTTGCTGTATTTTTTCTGAATTCTCCCCCCACCCCTTGTTCTCTCTAAAACAACCTCTCCCCCTCCGTGGAGGGATTCCTCTTTTACATCTAAACATCCATACCCTTCATTTAATCACCAGCCCTTTCTGATCTTAATCACTCTGCCTCTGTTTGTAAACACAATAGTGACTCGCTGCCCCAGGGTCACCTCTCCTCTGCAGAACTCACATTTCACACCAAGGCTGTGTTTACACTGTCACTTTCAGCCCTAAAACTCATTCAGGGACAAAAGTTTTAGCGCTGAAAAGCATCAGTATAGACCACGCTTTGTCCCAGCGATAAAGCGACCGCCCCTCATTCGGGGTGGCTGTCGTTTATTGCCAGGAGAGCTCAGCTCCCGTCCGTCTCTCCTCTTCTTCTCCTCTCTCCCCCCCCCAATAAAGCGTGATTACACTGCCCCCGTCACAGCGCAGCTGCAGCAGCATGGCTATGCTGTAACATGGGCAGTGCAAACTACAGCACAGGATTCGGGTATGTCAAGAGCTCAGTCTGGGAGCTTGCAGATCCCCTGTATGAAACCCAGAGTGGGGGCTCCTGCCCCCCCAATTGACACCCTTGGGAGGAACATGCCCATGTTTCTGGGAGAATAACTGAACTGAGGAAAGAGAGTTAAGTCAGGAGCTGGGGAGAAGACACTGAGTCAGGGAGGCTGCGCCTCTCTTGCTCCACCCACAGGTGGATCCACTGGAGGTAGGGAGAATGCGGGTTGCCCAACCAGTCCATGGAGGAGCTGGATGTCTACCATTGTGCTTCAGAGCATGTCTGCCTGGGGTGGGGAAGGAGCTACTCCATAATTCCTCATGAGGGGGGCTCACACCTTCTGAAGCACGTGGTACGGGATACTGTCAGATGGGATGCTAGATCTTGGTCTGTCTACACAGCAAAAGTTGTGCGTGGCCAGCCTACCTGAGCTGGATTGAATCTAGGTAGCATGGGCAATGACAGGGTGACCTGGTTACCCAAGGGATGGGTGGCTGACCTTCTACTGTTGTGGGGGACACTTGAAGGCAAAGCAGCCCTGCCCTGGTGGCTCGGGGAGGATGAATGTGAAGTTAGAGGTGGGGGACTTTGGCTTATGTTGACCCTTAGAACACCCTGGTTTGGATCTGTGAACTGGAGTACCTTGTGGTGGAGCTAGGAGTCGGTGAGACAGTTGGTTTGAGGAAAGCCGGTACACGTGGGTGGATACTAAGACTGGGGCTATGGACCTCTCAAAAGCTGGTCTAGGCTTAAACCCAAGATATGTGGGGGGTGACTCCACTGTGGAAGCTCCCCATGCAGGGGGAGCCTTGGCAGTCGCACAAGGAGTAGCAGGGGGAGCAGAGGGCTTGGGACTGGCCATCCGCAGGTTCCTGGTGCTTCTCTGGAGACCTGGTTTATTGCTGTTATGATGCTATGGGGGCTCCAGAAATACCATTTCAGAAGGGCTGCTCCTTTTCCAGCGGGGGGTGGGAGTGAGCCATGGACTCCAGGCCAGAGGGTGTTCAGGAGGCAGAGGAGTCCACCAGAGCAACCCCTGGGCTGGCTGCTTTTCCGGAGGTGGGATTGGACAGGCTCGGGGTCTGAGCCTGCATATGAATGGTAGCAGGGGAGGGGGAAGGAGAGGCCTGCCCTGCCTTCCTGCTTGCCACCAGGGTCTAATCCATGGCTCATCTGTCTGGCTCTAGCTCCCTGCCAGCGGCACTGTGAAGCGGAGTGCTACAAAGCTACCTTGCAGTGACAAGTGCCCCTCATCCCTCCGGCCTCCTGCCAAACTTCCAGGACTCAGTAGCGGCAGCAGACCCTTGCTCATGGGATCCCGGGTTTCTCTGGGTCCAGGGATCCTCTGCATGAGCAAAGAGGCTGGAGCTCCTGGAACCAAACTCCCAACTCACCAAGGTGAGCAGACTCAATGAAAGGAGGCCAGTAGTGTTGGGGAGAGGCTGGGAAGGAGGCTCTGACCTGATGGCGAGGCCAGCTGCTGTCTGTGGCAATGCCCTGGCTGGACTTTTCAGCTTCCCTAGCTGCCCTCTGGGGCTGTGAAATCCTTGTTCTCCTTTTCTTCTCATCTCCAGGTACCAGGATAAGACTAATGAAGCCCAGACCCAGCAGCGTGGAGCACACCAATGGGACCCTGCAGCCAGCATGCTCTCTTCCCACTGGGTATCCAGGAGCCAGGTCCAGCCCCCAGGACAAAGAGACTGAAAGTAACTGCCTGTAATCCTGCTGGGTGCAGAGCAGGGAGCAGCGTTGTGGGGGAGATGGGGGAGCGCCCTCAATGCTCATCGGGAGAGCCGCATGGGCTGGGAACGGAAGGTGCCTGCTCACTTGTCTTGGGATTCCTGTGCTGGATCCTAGCTCCAGCTCTGTGGTGGTCTGTGAGCTGCCGTGGTCTTCCCGGCCTTGCTTTCTCTGTGCCTTGAGCTCACTGTGTAGTGAGAGTGCTGCGTTCTGGGCGGGGAGGCTGTGGGGTTCCTAAGGTGGGGTCGGAGGCTAGGGGGCAGAGGGTGAGGAGCATGGCTAAGCACTGAGGCTGCATACGCGCATGCTCCAGTCCCTGGCGTCGCTACTCTGGGGCCAGCCCCTCTGCAGCTGGGCTAGATCTCCTCCAGGCTAACACTCCTCACCTCCTCAGCAGGTGTCGCCAAACTTGGCTGCAACAAGCTGCCTGTTCGAAGGGCTGCCACTGCTGCGATTCCTGCCAGGGCTCCCCACTCCCGGCTGAGACCAACAGGGAGGACAACAGCCTCCCCCAAAAGGCTCCCTTCCCCCAAGCGAGCTCGCCTAGGTAAAGGTAGGTCTGGGCAGGGAAGGGACTCTCAGTCCTGGTGCCTCCCTGCTGCAGGCAGGGCTGGTAGACAGAGGGGGTCAGGGCAGCACCGAGAGCCGCAGGGGCAGGTCAGATTATCCATCTCCTCCCCTGTCTCCAGAGAATCGGGCTGATTCCCGGGGCGGGGGGTGTATGCTGGCTCCACAAAGGGCTGCCCAGAGTGAAGCAGAAGTGCTCCTTTGAGCCTCCTTCCCCAGGGCCCTGCTGGGCTCTCCCAGCCTGGAGCTCCAGTTGAAGGTTTCATCATGGAGTGTCCTGGTTAGGACAGATCCCACTGTCTTGACGTTACCTGGGCAGAGGCTGACACCCTTCACCTTCGCTTTCTAGACACTAACTCAGCAGCAGCTGCACAAGCCCTGGAGCCCAGTGGAGGAGAAGGGCTCTCTGTAGACACTGAGGACAAACCTGTGGGGCAAAACTTACCCAGTGCAGGTGAGTGAGCGGTTCAGTGGCTTTGGGATGCTGTGAGACGTGGTTAGCAGTCCGGGGGCTGGGTTCTTGGCAAAGGGAGCAGGAACTCCTGCCTGAGTGGTTCCTTCACCAGGTCTGCTTCTCCTGGCGCTAAGGCACACCTTATCCTTCCACTGGAATTAGGGAGCCTTTCAGGGATGGGGGGCCTGAAATGATTAGACAGTACACAAACCTGGCATCTATCATCCACCCCACCCCTTCAGCGCTGCTGCTCTGGGCCAGCCGCTGGCTGCTTAAGGCTCCTACCCATGTTTGTGGCTCCTGAGATTCTCTGATTTGCTGGCCAGGGCTAAAGGGGAGCTGGCAAATGACAGTGTGTTTGGGGCCCATCTCCACATCCTCCGTGGGCTCCTGGCAGGAGAGTCCATGCTGAGCTCTGCTCCTGAAGGGGAGGAAAGACAGCAAATCTCTGCCAGTAAACAATGAGAAACTTAGTTCCCTGAAAAAAGAAAAGGAGTACTTGTGGCACCTTAGAGACTAACAAATTTATTTGAGGATAAGCTTTTGTGAGCTACAGCTCACTTCAGCTTTTTTCCACTGAATGCATCCGATGAAGTGAGCTGTAGCTCACGAAAGCTTATGCTCAAATAAATTTGTTAGTCTCTAAGGTGCCACAAGTACTCCTTTTCTTTTTGTGGATACAGACTAACACGGCTGCTACTCTGAAACCTGTTAGTTCCCTGACTAAGCCAGCGGACTCTTCCACGCCTTTGGGGCCGGAGCCTGTATCGCCCTTTGTGCAGCTGAGATTGGCAGGGTTGGAGCTGCCAGATCTTGTCTCCAGATTGCTCTGGGGCAGGAGGCAGGGCCTTCCCCAAAGGCTGCAGCTCTGGAGTGATGCCACCCTCCTATGCAATGCCCCATCCTCCAGGGGCCATGCTCTGGGTGGCAGGCCCTTTCCAACAGCCCATCAGGATAATTCTCTGCTCTGCCAAAGAACTGCACTGATGCTTGGGGCATTGCTCTGCTGTTCCCATCCCTTGGTAGAATTGGACTAGCCTTGGTGAAGGCATTTGGGGCATCTGAACAGTAACCAGTATAAAGATTTTCAGAGTAGCAGCCGTGTTAGTCTGTATTCGCAAAAAGAAAAGGAGGACTTGTGGCACCTTAGAGACTAACCAATTTATTTGAGCATGAGCTTTCGTGAGCTACAGCTCACTTCATCGGATGCATTGCTCGCCCCTCGGATGCCCATGGGCAATTTGAGGGGAAGTTTTAAGTGGTGCAGGTGCAACTTCTTTCCAGCGGAGGGCAGCAGCATCCCAAGAAAATGCCCCGTGCTGGAACAAAGACTTGTCCAACTGCCACTCATCGCACAGTTCACACTGCAGCACGGGTGGGCAGGGCGAGCCTGGGACCCGCCCCGATGCAGGTGCTTGGAGCAAGGCTTGTGCGGGTGGGGAGGGAGGACAGGAGAGCAGATGGGCGTGGTTAGTTCTGCACCATGTCTGAGTCTCTCTTTGCAGGTGGAATGGCCCAGTCTCAGGCAGGTGGGAATTCCCTAGCTCCTCTCAGTAGTTTCCTCCCTGACTCTGCCCTGGAGAGTGGAGGTGCAGCGCCCTCTATGCAGGTAACAACCAGCCGTCTCCTGGCGTTACTCAGCACAGCTCTCAGAAGGCGTCTGGGGTGTGGCGCAGCAGGGCCAGAGGAATGGTGGGATGAAGGAGGTGCTCTGTGGGACTGGGATGGGCCCTGGGATACCTGAGCCTTTAAAACACGGGCCCTTTAGGGCAGGGGCTCTTGTGACTTTCGGCCAGGCTGGGGCTGAATGCAGAGCAGCTCCCAAAGCTGCACCCAGGTACCAGTGAGGTGAGACTTGGAGGGGAAGGAAGAGCTTCAGAGCATTCTCCTCTCCTTGAACTCCCACCCTTAGTCGTCAGCAGCCTTGGAACCCCCAGATTCCTACCGCTGCTAGACGCCCAGATCCCACAATGGCAAAAACCACCCACATCTATGTGACTAGGCAGGACTCCATGTTCCGGCCAATGGACACAGACTGGCCACGGCGATGTGTGTGTGTCCTGGAGGCTCGACTGCTGCCACTCTGAAAATTGAGGGCTGAAGCCACGCACTAGCTGGTCCAAGGTGCACCAGGTGCCAGGCAGTTCTGATCTCCATGAACACATTGTCCCAGTGCTGCTCTCAGCAGTGGCTCCCTACTCCATAGAGCCCTGGAGCTGCACTCGTCCTGCTAACGAAAGCCCTGCCTGGGAGTCTCCCCAGTGGGAGATGCTGGTGGCCACAGGGGACAGAAATGTCATAGGAACTGGGCACAGGCCATGGAGCTCTGCTGCAAGGGGGAGGAGCCCTGACTCCGTGCAGGACCATTGCTTTGACTTGGATCTGCCCAGACATGTTGCCCTGTTCACATGCAGCAGACAGACTACAAGCCAAGCAGATGGGAACAATGTTCTTCTAAACGCTTGGGAGGTGCCCGACGCTGTGGTGATGGGGCCATGTCCGCTCTCTGCCCTCTCCCCTATGCAATGCCATGTCCACCTCTGGTGCTCAAAGCTCCCACTTCCCAAGGAATTACTTCCATCGGGCATGTGCCAGCTACAGACTGTCATGGTGCCATGGGCTGTTCTGGTCCCTTCCTGGGTGGGGCTGGACACCAGGGTCCCCCTATGAAACTCTGCTCCAGACCCCTGCAGCATCAAAGTGCACTAGGCAAGGGGCAGCAGAACGGCTTGTATCTCGCTGGCTTCCCTGGTTGGTGGTGAACAGCCTTTCTCTGTCAGCTTCCAGGTCAGCTGCTCTCCCAGGAGCTGCAGAGAGTAAGGAGTGAGCTGCAAAGAGTGAAGAATGAGCTTGGTACGTGGGGCGGAAACCCCTCCCCCTCCTAGACTGGGCCATGCTAACGTGTACGTGGGAGCTGGAGTGCTGCTGCTGAAGCATGGCCCCTGGGTGGGGTGGGGGTGCCCCCCTCCAGTTCCTGGGAGCCCCGGGAACCTTGCTGCAGTTGGGCACTGAGCCATCGTCTCTATCCCGTGCAGTGGAAACAACCACAAGATCCTGCCCTCGGGCTCCCTTCCCCTCTGCCCACAAGCATCCCCATTGGGCGCTCTGCCAGGGGCTGGCTGGGCACATGCTGAACTCTCCCCTGTTCCTCAGCTGCAAGAGATGCCCAATGTGAAGCCTATCGAAGGACGATCTCCTCCCTGGAGGCTCAGCTGAGGGCAGGTAGGTGATCCCCTCCTCTGACAGTGGCCATGCCCCTGGAAATCCCTCTTGCCAACCTTCCCAAAGCCCCCTCCTTGCATGAGGAAAGGTGGCACTATGATCCCAGCACATGGGGAGAGTTAGTCCCACAGCTTCACCCCTCGCCTAGCAGCTAGAGCACTGTGTGTGGGGTCACCCCACAAGCCCACTGTGGACCAGAGCCAGTGAGTGCACCCCCTGCCCCCGGGGCAGACAGACCATGCACTCCCTTACAGTGCCCAGGATGAGGTGCTGTCCTTAGCCCAATGCCTCCTGCCCCTGCAGAGAGTTGGCTCAGGAGCTAGGAGCATCTTGTCTTGTACCAGCCTCCCTGGGCTGGGGTCCTGTGCCTTTCCCTCACGGGTAGGCCAGGCTGTGCTGGAGTCTCCATACCCTTCCTGCTGTGCCCTTCCTGTAGGCAACGGGAGCGCCATTGTGCAGACTAGGCCAGGAGTTAAGGTTTCGTGCTACTAGGCAGCTGGCTTGCTTGTCTGGCACGGTGCCAGCAGTTCTCCATGCCCCCCGGCCCTGCTTGTGGCTACCTCAGACCCAGGCATGTGCTGAAGTGACTGGAGTGAGTAGCAGTGACTCACTCTGTCTCTCTTGTCTCATGATGCCCTTGTTTGTTCCCCCCTCCCCCAGGCTCCCTCTCGGAGGGCTGGGGAGAGAAACAGGCCTGTGCCTTGGAAGGCGAGTGACAGTGAAGCATGGAGGGTCTGTGTCTGCCTGTTACAAGAACCCGTCTAGCAGGCTCCTCGCAGGGGTGCGCTGCTCTGGAGAGCCTGAAGGAAAACCCTGCAGCCCAGTGCTGGGAGCGAGCGGTGACTGTTCTCACGGACACCTGTGGGGGGGATGGGGACTCTTAATTGTGGCTTTTGTTTTTTAAAAGTAAATAAAGTTCTCTTCCTTCCCCTTGGTGCTGCAGAGCCCTCCTGCTGCTCCCCGTGGCACGTGTTATCCCCCTGGCCGGGGGGGCTGCAGCCTTGCAGGGCCTTGTGCTCCTGGCAGGACTGGCTGGAAAGAGTCCCCCAGGTTTGGTTGTAGCCAGTACCTAACACAGGAAGTACCACTCTGGGGTCTGGATGTGGCCCCATTGTAAACTGGGTCCTGTTGTCTTGTCCTGAGGCAGCCTGGGGTGTCTGTGGTACATGGGGTCCCATAGAGCACCTGCCCTGGGCACAGCTCCCTTGTCACAGCTTCCCTGCGAGGCCCTTACAGGTGTGGTGTGAGGTACTCTGCTGTGGGGCTGGTACCCACGGACCTTTGGGCTGCGGGTCCCTCTGTGGCCCTCACTCACGTCACAGCATCTGTCAGCTGAGCAGGGAGTGAGGACAGACTGCCTCTAGCAGTGCTAGCTGCTTGGGCTTCAAGGAATTCTCCTCTGCACTCTTGAGGGTGCCTGTCTCTCCCAGCCCTGGGTCTGACCCATTCAGCTGGCACCCTGGGGGTGGGCAGGGGAGAGAGGCCATAGACCCCTCACTTCCTCCCCGTTAGAGGAAATGTCCCAGGGTGGTGGCCGGCATGGGGTCATCACAGCATCTTCTAAGCCTCCTGCAGCTGAACTGGGGGTGGGTGAAGCTTCTGCCCCTAGCTGGTTCCAGCCTTGAGCTCGCAGCAAGGAGAAGTCAAAGTCCCGTCTGCTAGCACTGTGCCCGTGGAGGGAGAGGCAGCATGGGGGGGGCAAGGGGAGGTGTCTTCTCTGCCTGGGCTTCTTCTGGCGTCCCACTCGGAGACACGAGATAAAGGAGGGGGAGGCCTATGTGTTCCTCTCTGAACTCCCTCCTCCAGTGGGGCATGCCTAGGCCTCTTGGTAGAGGGATTACTAATCCCTTCCAAGGGGCAGGCAAACAGCCAGCATGTCTCATGCAGCATTAGCCTCCAGCCTAGGAAGGTCTCTGCAAGCTGTACAGCTGGGGATCGCTGCCCTGGAGCAGAGGAGGTGCCTGGCCTGCAGCCCCAGTCACTGTTACCTTCCTTCAGAGCTTTGCTTAGATTTCTGTCCGTGCGGCTGCTGCCACTCGTGCCCAGTCCTGGTTGCTGGCAGAGGCTGGGCCAAGAAGGGAGCCAGCTAGTTCTGGTTAAAGCCAGAGAGGGCAGTGTGATGCTGCCTGGCAAAGGAAGCCTTCTGTGGAACTGGCCAGGAAGGTGAGAGCACTTCTGTCACTCATCCAGTGTCTCTGGGGGCTGGCTTGACTCCTCCCTGCACTAGATTTCCAGGAACATGCCCCCCAGCCAGCTCTTCGTGCTGTACTTGTGCCCTTTCCTGTGTGACCACAGCAGGGGACTGCTCACGGGGGGTGAGCGGAAAGGCCCTGGGGGGGGCTGGGGCTCTGCTGCTCCCCCCCCGCACCGCCAGGTGGGCTCTGAGATCGTGGCACAGCAGCACTTTGCCCTAGTCGCCTTCCAGCCAGAACACGCACCCTGAGCCTCGCTCTGGGGCTCGAAGGGCTTCAGGCCCGGCTGCCTCTGACCTGCTGTGCTCAGCTGCCCTGGGCATGAGGCCGGAGGAAGCCAGGGCAGCTTCTCCTGTGTGGAAGGTTGTCCTGGTGAGCCTGGCCAGGGGTGGGCAGATCAGTCAGATGTGTGGCCTCAGCTAGGCCTCGTCTACAGGCTGGGGCACGGCCACTGCTCTATCCGGCCTGGTTCTTAGCTCCCTAGGCTTGGGCAGTAGAGCACATCCAGCTGGCGCATGGCTGGGTGCTGCAGAAACACCAGAGGCTTGGACTGGCCGCCTCAGGCCTGCTGGGTGGCCCTGCTTCCCAGCCGTGTTGTCAAATCCTGCTGGTGCTTTCTCCTAGCTTCTCCTTCGTCCACCCACAGCGTTCCTCGGACGTGACTTCTCTCCAGGGCACTGCAGCTGGTCAGACTCGCCCACTGCTGCACTGAGTCCCTCTTCTCCCCCTGCGCTGGCTCCAAATGCCTCACTCCACAAGCCAGGACCTGTGCCTGCTCAGCGGGGCCATCTTCTGGGGCTGCCTCAGAACCTCGTGCCAGGCAGCCCTGAGCCTGTTCCCTGCCTGCCCTGATCTCTGCTCTAGAGCTGGGAGAATGTCTGAGGAATGGGAAATTTGCCCAAAGGGGCATTATGCAGGGCCCTGAGCTTATTCGGCAAATAGATTAGGACAAAATAAAGTGACTTTGGAACGACTGAAACAACCCACCCCCATCTCAGGATTTGATTTTTCACTTCAGTGTGTATGGAACCCACACAGTCATCTTCAGTATGAAACAACGCCAGGTATTTTTGTTCAGTAGGGGGCTGAACCGGTCACTTACTGACCAGCTCTTTGTTCCCTCCAGCTGCTGCATCAGTGCCCAGAACTCGCCCTCCCGGCGTGCAAGAGGGAACTGAAAGCAGCGGAGGTGCCTTTGCCCCTCCTGTGGCACCCTGCTCCAGCTGCCTGTAAGAGAAGCAGGCCCAGGGCCCAGACTCTTGTGAGTAAAGCCCCCAGGCGCAGGTCAGCTGGCTGAGAGCAGCCTGGACTGCGCTGAGTTGCTGCTGATGGCCGTCAGCTCCCATGCTCTGCTCTCTGCTGTGGAAACAAAAAAAGGAAGGGCCAGTTGCTGCCCCAAAGAGCACAAGCAGCCAGATGACAAGGGAATGAGCCGCTGGAGCCTGGCCATGCCTCCTAGGTACCTGATGCTCCCACTGGCTCCTTGACCCACTTGTTGGCTAGCTGCCTTCTTGCAGGCCTCGGAAGGGTGTGAATGCCGAGGGTGCCTGCCAGGCTGGGCCCCGTGTTGCGAGGGTGGCCTGGAAGCAAAGGCAGAGGTGCTCGTGGGAGCAGCGCCCGGCTAGAAGAACGAGGCTGGGAACATAGGCAGAGCAGGGCATTCAGCCATGTGAACAGGAGCTGCAGCTGTTGGGAAGGGAGGGCCTGGCAGACTCCAGACTAACCCATTACCGTATGTTCTGAATCTAGCACCTTGGGGCTGAACTTCTGCAGCTTCCGGTCAGCCTGCTGGGGATGTCTGCTGCAGTCATTCTCAGTCTGCTGCTCCGGTACCATGAAGGCGTGGCAGGCGAGTGAGGGAGCTGGCTGGGCAGTTCTGTCACCTGAGCTAAGGGGGGTTGGAGGGGTTGCCCTAAGCCAAGGGAAAGGTGCTGCGGGCTGTAAATGCTCCCATGGCTGCTCAGCATGCAGAATAAAGGAGTGGGAAGCTGGGTCGAAGGGGAAGTGGGTCCTTGCCCCTCGTGGGAGGTTAAAGTGGGGGAAGAGTCTGGGAATTACTGCCCACTGTTGTTAGAGGAGCAATGCCATAAGATGCTTTCCGTTTGCTGGCAGGTAAACCTGCCCCCCTCCAGCCCATGATCCCTGCCAGAGGTGCCCTGCTGAAGGACAAGGAACTCGTGCTCTGGCTACTGGCAGGGACCTGCCTGAGGGGCCCTGAGCACCAGCTCGCACCAAGGGGCGGAGACTGGAATGTTTCTCAGGCCTGGCATGGGCACGTTGCCCCAGATGTATTTCTGGGCTGAGCAGTGCTGCCTCGTCCCGCGGGCATTGCTTGAGAGAGTGCTTTTCGTTAGCTACAGTAATAAAGGGGCCTCCCTACCCGCCAGCCTCAGAGGACACAGGCTGCCAAGGGCGTTAGCATAGGTGCAGCAGGAGTGTTAGAGGCCCCCCTTGCTGAGATCCAGGCAGCTGAGGTGTTTCCGGGCTCTCGAGCATGTGAACACATGGTGCTGAGGCAACGGGGCGGGGCTGGCAATAAGCTGTAGTTGTGGTTTTCCCCAGCCTGGGCAGGTTTCCTTCCTTCTGAGCAGCAGGGAGTGAGTCTGGGACACTTCCTTCTGAGCAGCAGGGAGTGACTCTGGGACAGCGTCTGCTTGTTCCTCTGTATCTCAGCCAATGCAGGAGGAAGTGGCTGTTTCTGTCCCTCTGGTGATGGAGCCCGGAGCCCAGCAGCAACCCACCTCCAGCTGTGTGGGAAGAGGTCTGCAGTTAAGGGTGGGTCACTTTTGCTTCCCTTCCCTGTGACTCAGCTCTGCCCTGGGGTAGAGCAGAGGGTTCTCAGCAGGTTTTACTGTCTCTGCTTCCTGGAGCTGGCTCCTGAGCGATGGAAAGTGGCTGGGCCCCTGGCCAGAAGGGTGTGATTGGGGCTGGCCTGGAGGCCTATGTTGTGTGCACATGCTGTTCAAACAGCAGTTGAGTTGGGGTAGCAGTGGTGGGAACCCGAAAGCCTGTGTGTGCCTGCACTAGAAACACGGTAGTCTAGACAGGTTTCAGAGTAACAGCCGTGTTAGTCTGTATTCGCAAAAAGAAAAGGAGTACTTGTGGCACCTTAGAGACTAACCAATTTATTTGAGCATGAGCTTTCGTGAGCTACAGCTCACTTCATCGGATGCATACCGTGGAAACTGCAGCAGACTTTATATATACACAGAGAATATGAAACAATACCTCCTCCCACCCCACTGTCCTGCTGGTAATAGCTTATCTAAAGTGATCATCAGGTGGGCCATTTCCAGCACAAATCCAGGTTTTCTCACCCTCCACCCCCCCACACAAATTCACTCTCCTGCTGGTGATAGCCCATCCAAAGTGACAACTCTCCACACAATGTGCATGACAATCAAGGTGGGCCATTTCCTGCACAAATCCAGGTTCTCTCTCCCCCCCACCCCCCTCCCAAAAACCACACACACAAACTCACTATCCCACTAGCAATAGCTCATCCAAAGTGACCACTCTCCCCACAATGCGCATGATAATCAAGGTGGGCCACCCCCAGCACAAATCCAGGCCTTCTCACCCCCCCCCACCTCCATACACACACAAACTCACTTTCCTGCTGGCAATAGCTCATCCAAACTGACCACTCTCAAAGTTTAAATCCAAGTTAAACCAGAACATCCGGGGGGGGGGGGGGGTAGGAAAAAACAAGAGGAAACAGGCTACCTTGCATAATGACTTA